AGCACGAAGCTTAGCAGGGCCAGATTGATAGTCCACTTCCGACCAGGAGTTTATGGGATGGGAGTGGTGGACCATCGTGTCTCAATTTTTAGGGCTACTCATGGCTGCGTGTCTCCACTGCAATACATGTTATCAGCAACCCTGGGCTCTGCTCTGAAGCTCAGCGCAGCTTCCTCATGGGGCAATGACAGAGGCGTGGGGCTGTATGAATGGGGAGCATGGCAAGGGGAAAAATCTGTAGTTCAGACCGAGCTGAATTTGTAGTGAAGACAATCTAAACTGTGCACACCTCCTCCCCTCTGAGTTCGGTTTAGGAATAATTCATTTTGGTTTGGAAAAAACCGATTTGCAATAGACAATCTAAATCAATACACGCCACTTTTAAACCCAAATCAGTGCCCACCTAGTAGTTTGCATGACTTTGGTTTAAATAACTGCAAGCTAAATCGGTTTCAATACACACCTGAAGTCCAGTTAGTGCCACTTTCTCATGTGGTTCTATTGGCCTGTTTACTCTGTCCTGGGCTATGGTGCCATCACAACGGGTGTGCAATCCATTGATATCATGAGGATCTGTCTCTTTCCCTCTCTACTCCTTTGCTCAGGCCAGATCTACACTACGGGTATGACTTTGGTATAATTATGTTGCTCAGGGCTGTGAAAAATCCACACCCCTTAGTGACAGTTATCCTGACCTTAACACCCCAGGCAGGCAGCCCCTCTCATGCAGGTGGATTAGCTAAGCCAACGGGAGACGCTCTCCCCTCAGCACAGTGTCTTCACTAAAGCACCGCAGCCGTGCCAATGCAGCATTTTAAGGGTAGACCTGCCCTCAGTCTCATCCAAAGGGATCAACACCCAATACCATGGCCCCAGTGCCACTAACCCAAGTTCAGGCTGAACTTTCAAACCCACGGCATTCCAGTGGGCTCAGAGTTAGGCAAAAAGATCTTTGCCCATCCCTAGTTCATCTTGAACTTCTGGTGGCGGCATAGAGTGGAAGCTAATTCTCACAGCCCTCCCTTCTCAAGAAGCGGAGGGATTAGTCAGTGAAAATAAGTTACTTTCTAGATGCAAATTGGTTCTGCTCATGTGGGTCTGCCTTGTAAATGAACACTTTTCTAGGAAGTCTAGAGAAAAAAAAATGTCCCCATGCTTCACTCGTCTGTGCAAATGGAGATTGTTAATACTGGTGGACACAGATCCATAGATTATAAAACCAGAATGGACCACTGTGATCACCTAGTCTGACCTCCTGTGTAACAGAGGCCAGAGGTCTTCCCTGAATTAATTCCTGTTTGAACTAGAGCAGATCTTTTAGGAAAACATCCAATCTTGATGTAAAAATCGATATACACAGTGAGGACATGAGATTGAACAACAGACCTTCCTGGAAACCCAAGGGAAGTGACTTAGGGCAAGAGCAAGCATCCACTAAGAGTGTCGGAGGGGTTCTCCTCTGACTGATCTGGGTCAAAGGTCAAAGCCGAGACCTTATTGCAAGTTTAGCAGGGAAATGATCTTTCCAGTGGCCCACGCAGTTACTACTAGTCTAGGAGTGGATCAAGGTCAAGCCTCCATCTGTTCCGAATCCTTGGACACCTTTGTATATTTCACTCTCCTCCCTGTAGAAGTAAAGAGGGCAGAAGGAGATTTCCAGGCGGGGTTGTCCTGTCTCACTGATGTATACTTGTATTTACTGGCTGCCGCAGGCATTTGTTGTAGTTCTCAGACCACATGAGGGCGGATAGTTCCCTCCAACTTCCAGTCTAGGCTGGCCCTGGCAGGGCCATGGGGGTGCATAATACAAGAGGCCATTCAGGGCAGCCAAGGAATTAGGGGAGAGACATGCACTATTCACCATGGACACTGGTTTCTATAGATTGCTCCCGCATGTCTTTGAGTGATAAGGCGGTAGGGCAATACTGTTATAGAAATGCCCATGAGAAAAAACCTAGCAGTTACTGATCCCATCTACATTTTTAAGGACAACTAGTTGTGGCTACTTCAAGGGTCCTTTGCTCATTCAGTGTTTTAGAGCATACACCAGCTATCACAGGTGTATTCCCCTGTTTTCTTTTGCCCTCAGTAGGGCTGGACAAGCAATTTACTTGGTGGATTTAGCCTGTTTCTTCTGTTTGTGGATTATCCGCAGACAGATTTAATCTTCGTTATTTAGGTGGTTGTTTGAAATGAGTCAGTGCATGGTTTATGACAATGCATTTCAGCCCCTGGCTTGCTCGCAAGGTGTCTGCTGAGTGTTAATGCGTGTATATGTAATTTGCTATTCATGCCATGTGACTGGCCACTTCATTCACATGGTACTGTTTCTGCTCCCTGCCTGGATGACTGCCAAACCTGCAAAGAGCTTCCCCAATGACCGTGTGAACATTGCCAGCAACACTCCTTGTGCAGATGCATATTCACATGAGCCCCCAGGACACTTCTGGCAAATATTTTTGCCTATAAAACCTTTCTCAAAGCTCATAGAAAGGACTACAAAGGGGTGGCGAGGCCCATCCATGAGTGCATGTTTACAGTCACTATTTGAATGGATGTTTGCAAACATTTTCAGCCAGCTCTACACCACAAAATTGTATCTGAGATCATCTCTGAGGGCTTTGAATGAATACAGTGTTAAGGTCAAGGACTAGCAACTTTACTGAATGTGTCCAGCTGGGCTCAATGCTTGCAGCTGAAGTCACTGAATGTAACCATCCCGTTGCAGGTGTCAGCGTTACAGGTTGAACCAGGCCCTTCAGCATCAAAGCACAGTCCTCTACCACTCGAGCTAAAGCAGTAAAGCTCCATTTGTCAGTAGCAGTAGTAGGCTGTCATCCTCTGGTGGATCAGCCACAAGAGAAGGCCATGACACTCTTTGCCAGGAAAGAACACCCCTAATATCATATCCCAGCATGCATCAAAATTTGGTGTACAACTTCCCTGCTGGTTGTTCTAACATCCTGTCCAAGAATGCTGAGAGGGACCTGCCCCAGAGAACATTACACCCAGCTTGCCCCCATCTACAGCAGATCCCTACCTTGACTTGGATCAGTCAGATTTACTCCCAGACTTCTAGCCTTCCAAACTGTATTGCAAGCATATTGGAGAGGAGCGCTCCTCTTAACCCTAGTTTACCTTTGGCATCGCTAACATGCCCCTTGCTGGACAGTCACAGTGTCTGCAAATCTCACCACTTTGCTAGACACTGTTCCTTCTGGGTAACTTGCTGTGTCAAGGGCTCCAGATGGCTCCCAACACAGCCACCGGTGGCGCTCTATACCCTCCGTGCCTCCTGTGTAGAATCGGAGATGGCTACTTTAAGCTGCTGAAGCCAACTTAATGGGCAGGTAGCATCTGTGAGCCTTCCTCATATGCCCTACACTCAATTTCCCAAGCCCTGCTTCCTTCTTTAGAGTGAGTCCCTAAATATGGCTGCTGGAGCCTTCACCCTCTCTTTTGCCACTTCTCTACCATTCTGCTTCCAGACAACTCTGCCTGCTGGTGGTCAGTGCAGAGATAACCTATTAGCCAAGTCACCTATCGCTCACCAGATCTGCTGTGCATGCAGCCCGCACTTCGCTATCCCCAATATCCAACGGGCACCCTTGCATTCTGCGTGCAGCAGTTTTACCAAATGAGGTTTCAAATATGAGCAAACTCTTAAGAGTTATTACAAACTCGTCTCCCTAAAGCCAGTCTTTGGAACATTGCACCAAGCCACCTTTGAATGGATCCTGCTAATACCACAGACACATCTCGCCATGTTCTACTGCATACACCGTGTCCTTCTTTGTACCTTCACTGAGAAGGCTTGTGCCTTCGCTTAGATGGACGGCGTCCATTAGAGCTTGTGAGTGGGTTGATATAAGCCACAATGCACAGGAAGGTCAACTGATTAGAAAGATGAGAGGGTAAGGGGTGAGCCATGGACATCCAGGGAGAATCAGAAGAGAGGTTTGGTCACCCACTTCTTTGAGCAACCTGAATGGGAAATCTTGTGCTAGGCAAAGCTCAAGCAGACGATGAAAACTCATCGTGAAGAGCAGACATCACAGAGCTTCTGCAATTACTTGTTCGTCTTAGAGAAACAAGCAACGCCAGGTGAGTGGAGAGATGGGAGCCTGGAGACACTGTCAATGCCTGCTAGTTCATCATCAAGGGAGCAGGGAGTGAGATCCAGAGGCAAGTGAGGGACTCTTAATGATAGGGTTTGGTCCTGGACAAGTGATGTGGCCAGCAGCGGATGGAGCATGACACAGGGAATGGGAAAAGCTGGCTCCTGGCAGAGATAACGCCAAGGGCTCTCCTGGGATGGAAGACACAGTCACTTACAATGGAAAGGCACAATGAGATGGTCAGGTGGCCAGGGATGGTAATGGGTGGGCCAGAGTAACAGTGAACAGAGCTGACAAAGAGCCCAGTGCTGCAATTTGCTGACTCATCAGCTCCAGTCCCCTGGGAAGCCTAATCCAGGCTTCATGGAGGGTGCTGTGGTTCAGGGAGATGAGAAATACAGCTAACAACAGTTTGTGACAAAGGCAATGCATCCTGCAACTGTCTGCCCCATTTCAGGTCCATTCCTGTCCCACCTAATGCTGACAGTGGCTAACTCCCTCCCATTAAGGTGGGGAAAGATGGCTGGAAGTTCATTGCCCCTCTTGAAATTCACTGGTTTGTCTGTGTGTTTCCCCATAATAATACTTAGCATTTATACAGAGCATCTAGTCTGTAAACTCCACAGCACTTTACAAAAGGGTCTAAGTATTAACAGATGGGGAAACCGAGGCACCAAGAGGTCACATGCAGAGCTGGGATTAGAATCCAGGGCTCCTGTTCACTGGTGCATGCCGTCTCTCAGAGCCTTTGAGAGATCTCTTCCTGCCCTCCCACTGTCTGTCTCAGGAAAGGTAAAGCTAGAAGGAGGCTGCTGAATGCTAAGGTGTGAAAACGCAGCTGGGGGCAAGTCACATATTCACCTTCAGCTCATGATTCCATACCTGCTTCCATACCAGCTCCTGATTTCATTTCCGTACCTGTTTAAAAATAAAGCAAGCGTCTACAGCCTTGCCAAGCCCAAGTGCACACGTCAGTATCTCTGAGCAGGCAGGCTCTTTGCTGCTGGAGGATGCAATGGTGCATGGACGTTCCCCTGAAATAGATATTCTCTACCACCCTAGTCTGAGGTTCCACTGCATGGGGACCGGGAGCTACCATCTGGGACTACACTGCAGATTGCTGGGATATGACTTCAGAGTAGTGTAGAGACCCCACCTCATGGATTCGGCACCGTTGTACAGCAGGGACAACCACTAGGATTCAGTTCTGCTTTCCTATAGGTTCAACCATTGGGAATCACTCCCCTGGGCAGGGATCTAACTCCACTGCCATGTCACCTGCTAGGCCCCTTCTCCATCTCCAGCAGAGTCAACAGTGCCCTTGCAGGACCCAACTAAAGAGTCCTGCATGGTTGCCCACACCCACTGGTGTCCAGCTCCACCCCATGCAGTGGCATGGGCTGGGACCCAGACCCATTGCCCTGCAGAGCTGCCCACTGGGACCCAGTTTGTTGGTTCTGTCCACTAGGAACTCACCTCATTGCCATGCACAGGCTCTGATTGGCAGACGATCGGAAAAAACACGGTCTGTTTGCATTGGAAGAAGTGCGAGGCCAATTTTGAGGGGTTCATTTAGCTCTGATTTAATCTGGATGGCAGCCTTGCCCATATAAATCAGAGCTTAATGAGAACAATCCACCTGCCTGCCTGGGCATTTAATAACATAGACTAGAACTGGAGTCCCTCCAGGAGCAAAACATTCTCTACAAAGGCAGAGCCCCCAGCGTGGAAGCCCCCACACTGCCCCAGAATTACTCAGAGAGCTGCTTAACCCTTTCTAGGAGCTGCCCTTCCCTTCCACTCTGGCTGCCATGGGTTCCATCTGTCCAGCCCTCCCAAAACTTGCATCTCCGATGGGCACTCTGCTTGAAGCTTCGAACACCAAGCTGGCCCACTTGGGTCTGTGTCCTGCTTCGCAGAGCAACGAGATGCTGTCAGCTTGCATCGCATGGACTCAGTGAGAATTGCTGACCAGGTTTCATTAGCAGGCTCTGCCACTGCAACAGATTTGTGCTTTGGGCCCTCTTACGTGGACGGTCACTGGAGCATGTAGCCTCCTCCAGTCCTCAGCAACAGCACTGCAGTGTGTGGTGGAACAGGGGCTTCTGAGCAGCGCACACGTCAATTAACTCCCAATGGCCTTTACCCTTCCACTTCTGCTTCACTTGAGAGGGCTCAGCCCTGAGCCAACACCCCTTGACTTCAATGAGTGGCAAGGGCGTTTACAGACTACTCAGACCGAGTGAGCCACACAAAAAGCTAGTGACACCTCCCAGCCGTCACACTGTGCAGCTGGCATCGGCTCTGCAGAGCGTTTCCCATCTCCCAGAGACATAAAGCTTTGGGAGCTAGGGCCATCCAACAAGCCTTCCCAGTGTCTTCCTAAAAAACATCCCAGTTGCCCTTTGACATGTCTCCTGGATATCATAGCACCTCCCTGGTCTTCTGGAGCAGCCAGCTGCTAATTCGCAACGCCCAGGAGCCGCTGCTGGTTTCTAAGCACCGTGTCTGTGGCTCCCACCTTGTTCTTTCAGCCGGATGATCTCAGTGTCTGAGCCGAAGCTGTTCCAGGCAGTACAGTTGTAAATGGTCTGGAAATCAGCTCGGACGATGTTGCTGATGGTCAGTGTCGAGATGACGCCTTCCTCTGTGCTGACCGTCTCCACTGTATAGCGCCCTGAGGTCCCAGACTCCAGCACGTTCTCCTTCCAGGACCAGGCCTGCAAATCAACAAAAGGGGTTAGTTTTGTTCATTTAGGGCCTAATTCTTTTAGAAGAGCCTCAACGTGGCCTGGGGTGTGCACCCCTACATAATGGTGGGCACAGACTGTAGCCTGAGGATGTCTAATGTGCAAGGGGAGTCAGTTAGGGGGGGACTTTCAAAAGCATTTATGAGATTTAGGAGCATGAGTCCCACTGAAAGACACAGGAACCTGTGCTCCTAAGTCACTTAGGTGCTTTGGAAAATTCCACTCTGGACGTTGACGTGCCAGTGGCTAAACTGCAGCCACTAAATTTCAAATGCAGTTGTTTCTAGGTGCAAACTGAGGCACAAATTCAGAAGCCAATCAGCAAGATACCCAGATCGGGCACTTCTTGTCCAGTTCTAAGGGTAAGTGGTGTAGAGGATTACAACAGGCCCTGTGTTTGCTATACTGGGGAAACTGAACAGACAGCTTGGCTTGAGACTGGAATGATTAAAATGCTGTAAAAATGCATTCATGTTCAATGTGGGGGACATGGCAGGATTCTATTCTGCTCCATGCATCATCAACCCAGCTGCCAGCTCACTCCAGCCTTCAGACTCTTTCCTGGGCCGGGACAGAAGGATCCCTTGGGAGCTGGATTTTCTGATCCCAGGTGCAGTTTGTAGCACTGGCCCTGAATATTAGCAAATATTCCTGACTTGTAACCTGTGTCTCTCTGTCTGGGCTCAACGAGCGGGGACGAATATGGAGCCCCACAGCCTAGATCTTTACAATTGCTGCAGTGGCAGCTTCATGCTGGTGCTTTAGGAGCTGTGGAGGCATTCTGTGCTGGGGTGGGTGTGAATGCGATCAAAGACCTGGTCAAACTGTTCACTGCAAGTAAGTTAGCTACACTCGGTGCTTCGATGACCCCCAGAACTACAGCATCGGAGCATCCACAGCGCCCCTGTGCAGCAGGGCTGTATGATTATCCCCATTGTGTGGATGGGGAACTGAGCCCCAGAGAGACTAAAGGCTAGATTCACAAAGGGATTTAGATACCCTGCTGCCCAGTGGAACTCTCAGCTCTGAGTCAGATGGCCAGGCTCCCCATGCATTGTGAGGGGTGTGTGTGTCGGTGGGCAAGTTAGGTGTCTAAGAAAAGGATTCTCAGAAGCCAGCACGCTGAGCGGGGAGCTGCCGGAGCCAACCAGGAGTGAAATGCAGAGGAAAAGGGTGGGGCTTACGGTCCAGATTCACAATGACATTTAGGTGCCTAACTCCCTGGTCTGGGCCTTAGGTGCCTGAATGAGAGGCTGGAAGCAAGCACCTGTCTCCACTTGGCATTCTCAGCCATGAGCCCCATCCTGGAGCTGGGCAAAGTCCCTTTGTGACTCTAGCTGTCTCACCACTGCACCAGCCTCCCTTCTCTGGCTAGTTTACACTGTTTGGTCACAAATCGTATGTGATGCCATCCTGATTTCTGCCAACCAGTTTATGTGAGCAAATGCCAGCCGCTGGGGGGCTTCAGGAATGAGGTCTGGCAGCAGCGCTGGCCCGGTCTCCAGCCTATGAGCGCAGCAGCTGCACCACCTGATTGTCTGAGGAAGTCAGACAGCCTGCTCTTAAACCCAACAGCAACCACTGATCACTGGCTGCTCAGTGGACATGCCCGCATCTGCAACCTCTCCTGTGCTTGCCCTTTTCCTAGCCTTGCTCCAGCCCTGATCCTGCCTTGCTCCTCCTGGCCTGCCCAGTCCTGCTCCCTTGCTTGTTCCCGCCTCTGCTCTGATTCCTAGTCCCTACCTCCGGCTCTGACCCTTGGCTCTGATTCCTGGTCCCTGCCTCCGGCTCTGACCCTTGGCTCTGATTCCTGGTCTCTGCCTCCGGATGTTTAAGGTCAGGCTTGGTAAAGCCCTGGCTGGGATGATTTAGTTGGGATTGGTCCTGCTCTGGGAAGGGGGTTGGACTAGATGGCCTCCAGAGGTCCCTTCCAACTCTGTTATTCTATGATTCTATATTCATGCATCAATTCCTTTGAGCACATGTGACCGGGGGTGTTTATGTGAAGCACAGCCTTCATCCCAACAACCACCCACGGCCACAAATGCCCTGCACAGAAAACTGCAAGGATGTGGTTGAACCGAACAGCCATTTGAGGTTCCAACTGTGCTGCTCGCCTTTGACCAGCTCTGGGGAACAGCCTGAAAGCATGCAGCTAGGTTGTTCCATGCTTGGGTGCAGGTGTGCGAGTTATTCCATGTTTGAAGGCGTGTACATGTGAGGGAGACTGGGCTGTTCCGTGCCCAGATGCTGTGATTTAAAGGCTGGAGGAAGGTGTTTTCCTTTCACAACACTGGGTTTAGTATTAGAGAGACAAAGTGGGCTGTAGCCCACGAAAGCTTATGCTCTAATAAATTTGTTAGTCTCTAAGGTGCCACAAGTCCTCCTGTTCTTTTTAAGCTGGGGGAGGGAATCTCTTTTATTGGATCAGCTCCTGTTGGGGAGAGAGACAAGCTCTGGAGCTACACGGAGCTCTTCCTCAGGTCTTGAACCTGGGTACAGTATACTCAAAGACGGAGCAGCCCAGTTTCCCAGTGTATGGGATGCAGGGCTCCGCCAGAACCTTTTTCCATAAGCAGCCAAGGGCTTTTTCATCCCCTGGTTACAGAACATGCTCCATTTCTGGCTTTGCAAAACCTTGTGAATTTCCCAGCCAGTCAAAAGTGCAGAACCACTGCCTGGGGCTCCAAAGCGCTTTGCTTATTACCAAGGTGATTAAATGCCACCAGGACTTCTCCTTTGAAGAATTCACACAGGATTAGAGTGTGGCCCACAAACCGAACCTCATTATCTAGCACAGGGCTGGCCAGGAGCTATGACAGGAGGGGCAGCAGCCTCTCTCCCGCTGTACGAGCCCATTCAGTATGGGGATAGGGACGGGCCTACTCACGATTCTGTCTGGCGGAGGGGTGCTGCGGATGAAACACTTGATCTGTCCCTTTTCCCCATGCAGGGCGTGCTGCGTCTGAGTGCTCGAAATTATGGGAGGGCCTGAAAGAGAGAAGAAGGGGTGAAACCTGGCTGACTTCCCCCTACCTTCTTCCACATGCAGGGGGACTCCACAGCAGGAAATATTGTGTGACGCTAATGAAGAGCAACCAGCACAGTATCCCCCCAGGGAAGGTTTTTTTTTGGGGGGGGGGGGAGGACGGCTATCAGAGATGCTATGTTACAGATGCACTCTTCTCCAGAGAGAGAGAGAGAGATCTCAGATCAAACCTTCAGGGCAGCAGAGATCTGCATCACGGACACAGTGCAGACCAAAGATCCTGTATGGGGACCAAAAGCTCTGCTTTCAGGCCAGACTGTTTCCTTTCAGTGGGGCTTGTAGGGATACACATCAGGGCTGTGCTGCTTCTGCTGAGCGGTGTGACACAAATCCTGGGGATCTGCACGGTGGATACAGCGCTCCCCAGCTCTCTCCAAGCCCACAGTGGCATCATTGACACAAACTGTAAGAGACCCTCACTTTCCCTCTCTAAGGCAGTTCCCGCACGGTGCTAAGCTGTCCTTCCCGTTCCGTTCCGAATTCTCTCCCATCTCAGGCGCCCTGTGGGCGGCCAGCAGAGAGAGCTCTTGCACAATGCAAGAGGCACCCTGTCTCTTGCTCGCCCTAGAGGCGAAAGCCCCACAGGCTGTTCGCAGCCCTCGTTATTTCTCGCTTTCGGTAATAAGGCCCTGTGATGGGGTCGTGCAGGGAGTGCAGTGGCAGCCTTGCTTGAGCAGCTATTCCCATTCCTCATCGCCTGCTTTCATTAGGGGACGATTTACACTAATTCCTCCCCGTTGGCTTGTGGGGCGGAGACTGAACGAGCCAGATGCAAAGAAAGCTGGCAAGGGCTGCGAGCGCCAATGGCCAGGGGTGTCTGTGTCCCGCAGACCGTACGATCCACCCCAGGCTCGGCGACTGCCCGCACGCGGCTCTCCATGCCTCCTTCGCGAGCCTGGGCGCATCAGTTCCAGTCACACAGAGCGAATGTGCCATGCAGGCAGCCTAGGAGCAGAACCCGTCCCCGGGACGTGCCTCCTGTGTCACTTGGGAACAGAGGGCCAGATTTACAAAGGGCCTTAGGTGCCTAAAAATGCAGCGAGGCGCCTAGTGGAGCTTTCAAAATGTCTAAACACGTTACGTGCCTAACTCCCACGGTTAGAATGGTCAACGGGAGTTAGGCTTGTACCCTGCTTAGGTGTCTTTGAAAATCCCATGAGGGATTATAGTGGCATCACTACGATGTAGTAGGTCTGCCGGCTTAACCCCAGAGCCTACAGCCAAGTTTTTTAACTGGGGAAGGAAAACCACCTGCCTTAAGCGCTGGTTGCTAGGTCATAAGGACATAAGAACAGCCATACTGGGTCAGACCAAAGATCCATCTAGCCCAGGATCCTGTCTTCCGATGGTGGCCAATGCCAGGTGCCCCAGAGGGAATGACCAGAACAGGGAATCATCAAGTGATCCGTCCCCTGTCACCCGTTCCCAGCTTCTCATCGACGGAACAATGCTTCTGCACCTGGGGCTAGGCTGGCATAGCTATGTGCCAGAGGGTGTGGATTTTTCACACCCCTGAGCACCTTCACTATGCCAACCTAAAGCTTTAAGTGTAGGCCTGTCCCTAGTCTAAGCCTTGGGAGACCAGGGTTCAAGTCACTGTACTGGTACAGACTTCCTGTGTGACCTGGGGCAAATCACTTTGCCTCTGTGCCTCAGTTCCCCATCTGTACAATGGGGAATAGCACTGCCCTGCCTCTCAGAAGTGTTGAGGATAAACACAGTAATTTTGTGGAGATCCTCATACTCATATACTACAGTAACAGGGGCCATGTAAGTACCATAGATGGCTGTTATCACTGCACTCAGTCACTATGATTTCCAGGGTTCTTAAAAGGGCTTATAAACTCATCAGGTTGGAAATAAAACTGACCCATTCTGACCCAGCCCTTAGCCACAAAGTGAGGTCCCAGATCCCCTGTTTCCACCGAGCCGCATGCTACCATCTGCAAGTAGTGGCTTCAATTTGATTTTAGCCACTTGGAGATAGATGGAAGATCTTGTAACTAAAGCACAGGTCTGGGTGTGGGGATCTGGGTTCTGATTCTGACTCTAAATCACTTCCCTTCCATGCCTCATTTGCCCATATGGAAAATGGGCATGGTAATACAATAAGAATTGTTGGCACTGTGTTTTGAGATCCTCCAGCAGAAAGGGTTACAGAAGCAGAGTATTATTTAATGGCGCCACATGATTATTATACAAACAGAGCTGAGGTCATCTAGTCCATCCCCAGCCAGTGCAGAATTGCTCTCCAGAGCACATTTTTCTAGCACACATATATATAGTGTATTGTCTCTTGCGTGCGACAGAGCTTGTTGGATACAGCCAGGTTCTTCTCGGCCCATTTGTTCGACGGAGCTCAGAGTCAGCGGCAAAGGGAGCTCAAGGGGCAAACATCAGCACTGACATCTTTCACAGGAAGCGGGTTGTTTTTGTGCTTTTGATCAGAACGAGGGAGATTTCAACCTCGGGACTGCAAAACATTTTATTTAATTCTTTACATTAAAAATATACAGGGCTTGTGGGGCAAGCGAGCCATTCCGTGGGGACGCGGGGGGCCAGGCTGCTTACTCGGTGGCTTGTTTTTCATTTTCTGCCTGCTTCGGGGGTGGATCAGGGCCCCTTCATGTGTGCAGCCACCTCTGGAAGGGTGTGGGAGGTGGGGATGGAGCTGAGCTACAAAACGGTTGCAGGGCAGGTGGGCTCAGTATCATCCCGGTGGGGTGTGTCAGAGCGGCGTGCTCTCTGGCTCTCCAAGCACGGAATGGTTAGAACTTCACCCTCTCCTGCTCCACTGCTCCCCGTGTCTGTGCCATGTAAGAACTGCTGCTGTCTGGCAGGCCAAGAACATGGGAATCCAGCAGCGCTTGGTCTGCTGGGTGGCATGGAGAGGAGGGGAAGGTTAGGCTTCCTGCCACTCTCACAGCACTCCCGTGCCAGTGTGGGGGAAGCGAATGCAAATGAGGGAATGGCTACCAGCTATGCTCTGGAGCTGCCACTGCATAATTAACTTTCTGTGGTGCGGCTTAGAAAGAAAGGGGCTCACTCTTTGATGGTGCATGGTTTGCCTTTGGAGCATTTAACCTTCAAGGTGGGAGAGGTCAGGCCCCTAGGTCTTCCAGTGAGGACCTGGAAATGAACGGGGATTGAGGGAGAATGATTCCAGGGGAACAGAAAAAGTGCTGGCATCATAATTACTGTTTATTAGCCCCTTAATTAAAATAGATTTACATTTCTGTGAGCTGCTGCTGCGGCTGCTGGCAGACGGGGAAACAGCAACAAGCCAGGATCCAGGCACGGTCTGTGCATCAGGGTGAAGGCAATTAGCTCCTCTGACGGGGGCTGCAGTTGGCAGGATGCAGGTTGTCCCTGAATTAAACATTCTGCACGCTCGCGTCTTGCTCAGCTGAGCCGGAACGTGCTCTGAACGCCTATGGCATGGCGGGGCCTCTCTGCCAAGCACAGCAAGGCAAAATGGACTGGCAGAGGCAAGAGCGGTGAGTCATACTTTGCTCCTAATGACCTACCGGGCTGCTGAGCCTTGTTTTGAATTCACATCTGTGGATTACGTTGGAAGACTTCTCCTCCCCCCAACCCATAAACACACACGCACGCACACACACACACAACTTTTCATGCGTAGACACACACGAACACAAATATTCATGCACATTCACACTTTCTTCATGAATAAACACATATGCATGCATATATATATATATACACATATTCATACACACATTCACAGATAGATTTGTGCACACATACACACACACACAGGTGTAATGCATGCAGAAAACACACCTACACTCTCACTCAAACATATATATTTGCACATACACACACATACTTATTCTCCATCTGCCACTCTCACACACTCACCACACAGAAATCCTCACTCCCACAACATGCTTTTGAACAGAGCTAGTTGCAGTCTGTAAAGAAAAGTCGATATGTGCATTTGGATTTTCAGAAGATTGCGCTTTGGCTGACTTAGCACCATTTTAGGATTCCCTTTCCTCACACATTCTAATGAAGGAATGGTTGTTTAAAAGGAGACTTTTAAGCAAATACTGTAGAATATTTGCAACAAGCACATTTTGAATTTGCAAACATGAACACGTCTCGTATGGAAAAGTCCTGCAGAATTTAATAAAAAATTCTTAATAAATTCTATAGAACCTGTAAAACTGAAGAGTGAAATTTACCCCTCTATTGAATTCTCAACCAGAGAACAGGAATACATGATGTGACGACATTGTCCAGTCAAAACAGCTCACCTATTCAAGACTCAGGAGAAAATGCATGCAAACAAGCCCCAGCCTAAGAATTAGTCACAGAAATTATTTGATGAATAATTCTGAATACAGAATACACTGGAGAAAGTCAAGATTTGTTGATGGCTAATTCCCAAGCAGAGGTGAAAGTCACGGAATGACTCATAAGAGAAAATGGAAAACATTATTTTGCAACACTTTCCAGAGAAGTAATTTTCACTGACATCTTCTGCCCAGGTCTGGTTCCAAATTAGTCTCCCCGCTCTGCTCTTACTTAAGCAGTCCTTTGCATTCACCTATATACCTATGCCATTGCGCCTCCCTACACATTCACACCCACTCTCGCACATATGCTTTCACAGATACATACTGGCTCCTTAAAAGCAGGCAAAGGATAGTCTTTTCACAGCACTGGCCTGCGCCTCTGCCACAGGTTTAGGCCAAGATTTTCAAAAATAATGACTAGTCATTTGGGATACCTCCATTTTTGGATGTATGACTTGATTTTCAGGCAGTGACGAACATGCAGCCTCTGGGATTCAGGCCCCTGAAAGCTGTCTGGAGCTGGGCACCTGAACATCATTGGTCAATTTTGAAGAACCTTGACCTTAAATCTCTCTGTGCTTCAGTTTCCCTATCAGTAAAAGGGGGACAAAGATAATCCG